ATGGATATTTTTGGTCGCTATTGAAAATTTAGTCGATTGCTGAATTTATGTATGGGCCCAAATTAGGGGCATTTAGTCCGACGTTACATCCATTTCCCCTATATCATTATGTTCGTATTTTACATTTTAAAAAGAATCGCAGCTTGCTGTATGACCGGTACAATCAGCACACCTGCAGCACACTTGCGGCACACTAAGAAAAAAGTCCAATGGTCCAATGCCAACTTGAAATCCAAGATGGCGGGTTTTAGTTAAATAGAAACTGAGAAATACTGTGAAATACCCTTCAATGTGGGCATTTTTGGAATCGGGATATCGTATAGAGACCAGAAATCGTGGTCCATCTTGAAATTCAATATGGCGGCTTCTGGTTATATGAACACTAGGGAATACTATCAAATACCCTTCTATATGGGTATTTTTGGAATTAAGATGACGTATACTGACCGGAAATCGATGTCCGACTTCATCTTAAAATCCAAGATGGTGGCTTCTGAGTATTTTCGAAATCAGACTGGTGATTTAGTTCTTTTATCAAAAATCAACACTCCAGGATAGTGTGGATGGTTTACAACATTAAATAAAATTTATGTTATTTTATGTAGGGAAAATGAATGTAATGTCGGCCTAAATGCCCCTTATTTGGGCCCATACAGCAATCGACTAAATTTTCAATAGCGACCAAAAATATCCATTAGTACCGTCCCAATGACGCGATAAAATTGATAAATTGCAGATTTTTAGCGATTGGCCCGATCTTAGATTCAAAGGCCAACATTAGAGCCATTTCCCCTATGTGTTTATGATAAATTTAAAAAAAAACACCGAAAAACTCTTATCCGTATAAACTACGAGTAAATAATAAATTTCCACCAAATGGGTTTAACCAAAACTAACTACATTTCAAATAAAAAATGTAGAAAGAAATTCAAATAGTATCTAGTTTTCAACAGGGGCACAATCATACGAGTTTGGAGTTCGTTCCATTCGATTAGAATTAAAGTTAAATTTGTTGCTTTAATCTTGATTTTATATCGAACTCCGTGATCTTACAAGTTAGTTAGTCCGAGGTTTGCATTTATTTATTTTTTTTTCTGTATAATAAGGTTTAGGAAAACTTTAAAAGCCTGGCCTGTAGTGAAGTTGGCACGGTGTGGTATCCACTAGCTGCCTAGTGCAGCTCCACTAAAACCCTTTCCTTACTCGCTTCTCTGTCTGGATCCCCCCGGCACCCCGGTGAAGCCACTACTTCGGGGGTTGGCTGTGCTCATGCATTTCTCATACTCTCAGCACTAGCTGGCGTTGCTATATCGCTGCTCTTCTCTCCATTTACGCTGCAGTGACTGCTCTGTTGACGGCATTTCAAGTGCCCTTCTCTCGACACATTTCATCGACGACATTCTCCAAGTTAAGGACGGGCATCTCCCTTCGCACTGCCTCGAACCTTGGACAGTCGAAGACCACATGTTCCGGCGTTTAATCGACGTTGCCACACTCCGGACAGAGGGGTGACGCTGCGTGTCCGAACCGATGCAGGTATTTCCTGAAGCAGCTATGGCCAGACAGGAACTGCGGTTGGTGAAAGTTGACTTCTCCGTGTTATTTTTCCGGCTTCTCTCCGCCTGTAGCACTCGCTGTCCTCCGCCAGGGTGATGCCGATGCCGGCGATAACGCATTGTGCTTCCGACGAGATGGTTCTGTACGCACTCACTTTCCTTTGGTTCTGCTTCGTTTCCAGCGCTGGAACCCAGGCTGGACCTCCATACCTCAGTATCGACGACGACACACTGGCCAGAAGACACCTCTTGCTGCTGCTGGGAACAGAGTTGTTCGGCATGATTGTAGCTATCGCGTTGATGACCTTCGAAGCCTTCTCACAGGCATATTCGACGTGGCTGTTGAAGCTTAGCCGGTCATCGATCATCACTTCCAGGTATTTCAACCATAACTGTACCGCTTTACAGTTACTGACCAATAGCACTTCCGTTTTGTGGTGGACTATCTGCAGCTTTGCTCCTTGCATCCAGTTACCAATCATGTCGATCGCCTCGGTCGCCAACACTTCCACCTCTTCCAGCGACTCGCCTGTTACCGTCAAGACGACGTCGTCCGCAAAGCCAACTATCTCAACTCCTTTGGGCAGCTTCAGCGTTACCACGCCGTTGTACATCCCGTTCCTGAGCTTTGGACCAAGTATGGAGCCTTGTGGAACTCCCGCTGTGATCCTAATCGATCTCTGTCCCATGTCTGTCTCGTAGGCCAGAACCCGGTTCTGTAAATAACTCCTCAGGATCCTGCACCGCTTCGGCGATGGCCTCCCAGCTGGCGCTGTTGAACGCATTCTTGACGTCGATCGTTATCACGGCGCAATATCGATCTCCTCTCCGCTTTTGTTTGGATGCCTTCTCGGCTCTCTCGACCACTATCCGAATTGCATCCACCGTTGATCTCCCTTTCTGGAATCCAAACTGCCTCCCCGACAATCCACGCTCACTCTCCGTGCATTTCGTCAGTCTGTTTAGAATGATCCTCTCCAAGAGCTTTCCGAGTGTACCCAGCAGGCATATAGGACTGTTTTCCTGGTTTTGGCCGCAGCACAAGCTTTTGTGCCTTCCACCTATCAGAGAACTGAACATGTCCGGGGACGCCTGGATCGCCGCTTTCAACGCTACGTTGGGGATTCCAACCGGACCGGGAGCTCTCTTTGTCTTCAATACTTTTGCCATTGCTACGAGTTCCTCGTTGGTGATTTCTAAGGTATGTCCATCTCCCTCTCCGTACGGTGTAGGCGGCCAGGTCGTTGAGTCGTGCTTCGGGAAAAGTCCTTCCACGATGATTTTCAGCTTTTCTGGGCACATTTCAGTGGGCATCGTTGGACTTCTGATCTTCACTATCATGACTCGGTATGCGTCGCCCCAGGGGTTGGCATCGGCGTCTCGACACAGCCTCCTTAAAACAGTTTGACTGCTCTGCTTTATCTCTCGTTTAAGTGCGGGCCAGGCCACTCGGAACAGTCCTCTTCGTTCCTCTCTATCTGCTTCTGTTTTTGCTGTTCTAGCGAGCAAGGCTCATTATAGTGGCTCATTCCACCAGTAAGCTGGACGTCGTATGTTATTTGGCTCCAGTTTCCTCGGCATGGTCGTGCCACATGCTCTCACTAACGTTTCTGTCAGCTCGTCCGCATTCAGATCCGCGGGGCCCCTATCCCCACGGTATGCCATTGTCCAATGCCATATCGGATCGCCTGATGGTCGGTATGGGTATACCCTTCGAACACTCTCCAATTCATGTTTGCCACCAGAGGCGAACTGCTGAAAGTGACGTCGCTAATGGATTCCCGGCCATCTCTGCGAAAAGTGCTGCTGCTGCCTTAGTTGGACAGCATAACTTCAAGCTTTGCCAGAGCTTCCAGCAGACTGTGCCCGCTTGCATTGGAACATCTGCTTACCCACTACACTGCCCAAGCATTGAAGTCTCCTCGAATGACTACCGGTATGAGCAGTGTTGGGAAAATATCAAAAAATCAAATCTCATCATCACCCAAGATCACGCTTGATTTTCGTAGACAAAAATCAACAAGCAAACTACTGCGGTTGATATTGCAAGCTGTGATATCGCAGCTCGGAATATCAAGCTCACAGAAACTCACCAACTGCAAATCTCACCAAACCGTGGTGAGATTGAGTTTAATGATTTTTGCTTTACACCCGAATGCAACCGAAACTTCCATAACGGCTTTCAGCAGTCCCTTCGCGTCTGCCATCGGTGAAGATTGAAAAGAGATAGCAAACTATGCTTTCTCTTTCTAAAAAAACGATGTACAATGGAATCATTTTTGCGTCGAGTCAACTCTCAGCTTGATTTTTGCACATTGTGAATAGTCTCGCAATATCAAAGGAGCGCGTAATATTGCGAGCGCATGAGAGCGGCAAAATATCAATTGATTTCTGATTTTGCCAACACTGGGTATGAGATTGTAAGGAGAAGCCCGGGAGTTCTTTCTTTTTCTCCGCACTTCAAGCTTTATTGCTCATCGCATATTAGCTTATTGTGTGCTCTCAACTTAGTGTTCTAGATGCACTTCCACAGTTATTAATTGAGAGCTTTCGATCCCTGTACCATTTTCGCATTTTTTTTGTGTGGTAATTCCAATCATACTATATGCCCAGGGAAGTCGAGAAATTTTCCATCCCGAAAAATTGGGTTGTTTAAGGGTATTGAGGTGAGGTAGCAGTAGCAGTAGCAGTAGCAGTAGCAGTAGCAGTAGCAGTAGCAGTAGCAGTAGCAGAAAACAAATTCAATAAGTAATAATTGGAAGGAGAAGTGATTCTGAGATAAACAAAAACATTCATAATTTCCAACTTTTTTTTTTTAATCTGGAATTTTGGAAATGAGAAATTGCAAAATTTAATACCTGGAATGTTTTTTTTTTTTTTTTCCTTTGGTTTGTTTTCCGTCGATCTTGTTTTCCGTGCTGAGCACCAATGCTACCGACGCGCCAGGAAGGCAGCTCCCACACCTGGACCCTACCTATCGACCCATCAACTCATGAAACGGGGACCAACGGCTTTACTTCCGTTGATCAGAGATGTTATGCCTCAGAACATCCCGACGGCGCCGACTGGGATTGAACCCAGGCCTGCTGGGGTGAGAGGTAATCACCATTACCACTACACCACCGGCGCCGTTAGCCTCGAATGTTTGAAAAAATCAAATTTTTGGGAATTGAATACTTTTGAAAACTAATTTTATTTTTAGAATTGAATTAAATCAAGACGACAAGAAATGTTACTTGGCACTTTTTTAAATTCCTACCTTGATTTCTTTCGTGTAAATCAAATTAACTGGAAACACACATTTAGAAACATTTGGAAAGCAAAGTAGTTTCGGTGATCGATAAGGTGAAGTCTCAAGTTTTTACCAGATTTTCCTTATTTTTATCTTCTGATGTCGCAATGTCGAACGATTTGGAGATTCTCTTATAGTTAAAAATAATCAAACACTATTTTCACTACAACATTTATTTTCGTTACACTTGTAAGTTGTATATGATTCGTTACATTAAAAAAGTGATACAAAAGCTACTCCGCAGTAGCAGCTTCCTTAACACTAACGTGCTGTATATTGTGGTTGTAAAAATTGTTTCCAAAAGTTACAAACAAATTCTAACCGAGGATTACATGCTATTTATTGGTCGTATAAAAAATAAACTAATTGGACGGCAAAGTATTGAACTGAGATTCTTACAGTTTAAGAATTGTCTTTTTTTCCGATAGAGCTAATTAAACTTTCAAACGAGTTTCGTCAACAGTGTTGAACCTTAACAACTAAGTATAAATGGAATTGATTCGAGAATACGTTTTTGCACTTGACATTCGCTAAAGCTAGGTAGACTACAGAACGGGCGGTCGATACGTTCTAAACTACAATACCAGGTAGATACACAAAATAAAGGTTGAAATTGGAAGAACGTGTGGTCAAAGTAAAAAGTACGTTAATGAGAACCATCGTCGTCGTAAAATGTCTTTATGCACTAATTAGAAAAATTCGAAATTCATTTCTACCGGGCTTTACTATCCCATCGAATGGTCTTTGAAAGTTAGAAGTCATAAATTTCGATGTTTACGTCAAGCGAACATTAAAAAGGACATCCTTTTAGTGACGTCAGTGTTTGCTTGCGTGCTTTGTGTATACGTGTTGGTTGGTATGTGTGTTCTTATAAGGCCACATTTAGTGCATTGTTTTATGTCCTTTGTGCGTGGACCTGCTGATAATGGTAGTAAGGTATTGTTTGACGATTAGTTCGTTGAGGTTTTCTTATTGGATTTGCTACAAACTGCTAGAACTGATTCGGCGCGTGATGGATTGTGCTGCTTATTCCGTGAGCTTGATTTGAAGCACATCTATAGGACGAAACATTCTACGATGATAAAGTTACATAAAATAAAGAGCCGATAAGAGCCGGAAGTAGGGCATTTATATGTAGCCACCGCTGTGCAGACTTCGGCTGGCATGGTGCGACGGGTGATAGCCGGGTTCATGCATTTGCATCTGCATCACCAGGTTCTTGGCTTCACGACGCAGTTCGTAGGACTTTTTGGCTTCCTTGTAGAGCAGCAGGGCTGCCATGGCGAGAATCATGAAGGAAATCACGGCCATGGCGTACGACCAGGACAGAACGTTGAACTTGGGGTACATGAGCCAATCGCGGCGGTAGGCGTTTCCCCCGAAGATGGCCACCGACAGGAACATGAAGAATGCTGAAAGGGAAAAAACGATGAAGTTATTTGGGTATTTTTTTAATTAAAGCTAGGGGAAATGACGGCTTCGGCATGACAGACTATTTTCGGCAACCCAAATTGAAACACTATTTTCACTGGATTTTCTTACGAAAACACTTCGCTGAATGCATGCAAACGATTCTTTATGCTTTCAGCTTCAATTTGACTATATTTTTACCACTGAGAAAAAGCAATCTAGCAGGGTTTTCTTGAAATGAAACACACGCACTATAAATTGTAGCTGATTTCGAGTTGCCGATAATAGAACAGCAGATTTACATGCAGTTCAAATGGAACGGTTGCCGAAGAAAAACTGGTTGCCGACAATACTCGCTCTCACTAGAGAAGATTGGAGCTTTGTAAAAGCGTTTCAAAATAGTTTTTGACAATTCTTTCGACTGAAATTGTTAGAGCAGCTGGCAGCAAAAGATTGTAAACAAACCAATACTGCATATGTGTGCGTTCCATAGAGAAAAAGGCTATAGAAAGAAGGTCGCTGCTTAGGTTGCCGAGAATACGTAAATTCCCCTACCTAAAATTTGCATTCCTAAAAGCTCGGCTTGTACCTTAAAATTTCAGGATACTCGTTCCTCTATTTCTATGAACACAACCCTTGGACTTTGAGAAAATTTCCCGGAACGCCCGCCTTAAGCCCTCCGGACTTGTTATTGGTATTCACTATTCAGTAAGAACAAATCGATTTTTTCGAATTGCATAACTAGCAAAGGGACAAAAGGTGGAAAGCTGCCAAAAAACCCTCCTTGTAAGCATCCACATTTTAAAACATTCTCTAGCTTGGTAGATGTAGAGTGTCTACTTATTTGAATTTTCCAGATTTTTCCTGGACTTTAAACGTAAAATTTCCAGGTAAGGTAAACTTCTATATAACATATATTTTGATTTCATGAATGTATCTTCTTCTTCTTCTTCGCATTTCAAGCTTATTGCATATCGCATATTAGCTTATTGCGTGCTCTCAACTTAGTGTTCTAGATGCACTTCCACAGTTATTAAATTGAGAGCTTTCGATGCCTGTACCATTCTTGCATTGGTATAATTGTGTGGCAAGTCCAATCATACTTCTATGCCCAGCGAGAAATTTTCCAACCCGAAAAATTCCTAGACCGGACCGGGAATTGAACCCAGCCACCTCCAGCATGGTCTTGCTTTGCAGCTGCGCCTTTACCGAATGAGCTAAGGGAGGTCACGAATGTATGTTATATCGAATTGTATCTTATATTGAAGCATGATTTTTAAATTGAGAAACACAGTTAATTTTGCATTATTTTGATAAATTATGAGAAAATATAGCATATTTTGGTAATATTGTTCACCTAGAAGTGCAAAACAGCCTTTCTTAAGAAATTTCATATTTTTCTTGCACAAATATTCACTCTTTCACTAGTCGTCTTTCTAGTTACTATGTTGTTGTCTAAGATGTCTTGTCTCATTTTACGCAGAAAAAACTGAGTGTTAAGCGGCCAACCTCCATTCAAAGCAGCTTCATCAAAAACGTTAACATTTTCATCTCCAGGATACAACGATGTAGAAAGCTGAAGGCTATCCTCATGATCTTGGTTCGTTGTGTAAGAGAAGTCATCAACTGATGGGTTGAGTATTTTCTCAACGATTTCATCATCCTTCAGGATCTTGAACTTTGCGTTTTCTTCGTCAATTGTTTCCAGCTGGTTAATATTATTAATTGTGTCCCTCAGCCTTTCTTGCAATACGGACAATGGCAATTCGTCCTCATCATCACCCGGTGTCTCCGTATGCAATATTTTCCAGGACTTCTGAATGGCAGATTCCGGAACAGCTTCCCATGCTTGGGCAATCCAAAACATGGCGTCTTTCATGTTGATGCGTTTGACGTTATCGTGAAAATCAACCCCTCTTCCCAGAATCTCGTTTGTCATGATCTTCTTGTAACGAGCCTTCACCATCTGAATAACATGCTGACCCATCGGTTGGACTACAGCGGTGAAACTGGATGGCAAAATTTTTCAAAATATGGCTCCGTCATCTGTTCGCAACTCCTTTGTTCTATAATGAGCCGAACAGTTATCTAATACGAGAACAGCTCTCACAGGATGGCCTAGCTTAAAAAAAAAAAAATCAGTAACTATCGGGACGAATTGCTCAAAAACTCATCCACGCATTTTTGAATTCTCTTTAGTAGACAGAAAGATCCTTTAGGTTCTTCAGTGGTCGAGGATTTTTGTATTTTCCAATCACACATGACTGGAAGCTTCAAAGAACCGTCCATATTTGAACAGGGCATAAAAGTTATGCCTCTCTATTGACTTTTCTATCAGCCGCACTGGTAAAATTCCTGTCGACGTATGTTGTCGATGAGATTGCTGTGAGATATAACCCAAGTAACATTTTCAGCTTAATAAGCCAACTTTTCCAGCGTTGTGCTGTAAAGTAGCTGAAAAAATCTGCAGATACATCTACAGGCAGAAGCTAGCCAAATAGTTTTAGAGAGCGTTTACTCAACTTTTTCACAACCATAATTCAATTTGCCAGTCGCACTGAATAACAGCAGCCGCCAATGGTACTACTACGCAAATATTAATGAACTTTCAACTTGTAGCTGCAAAACAAAGCTAATAAAGTGAATATATTACTCATTTGATGGCTTATATTACAACCAACCACTCTTGCTGAATAACATACACATCAAAAGTGCTTTTTCAACTACTAAACAACCTGTACTCAGCTGATCAACAGTGTTAGAGCTGCTTTGGAAGCATTTTTACAGTCATCTAAGTTTATTTTTAGACGTGTGCAGTTTTACAGCATTTACTCTGCTTCTTTACAAAGCTGAAGTAACAAGTCGAAAAAAATAATTCATGTGAACTATTATAAAGCCTCTACTCAACGGTATTATTGTAGAAAGTCATATATATTTGTTTACGGCAGTAGCGAAGTTGGTGTCAAGGTTTGCCAATACGGGAGTTTGATTCCAGGTTCCGGTGCAGGGTAAATAATTTGGTGGTGTGCTTATAACTAATTTCGATTAATTTGATTCTCACAGCAAAATAAACTCAATCAATTCCTCCAACAACAAAAGCGTAAATAATATTTAACCTTGCTTCAAGAGAATGCTGTGTAGTGATTATTGGATAACCATGAAAAGGTTGAAGAAGCGCCTTTCAAGTTCACGCACAACTAAACAGCAGGATATCAGCTGCATAGAAGCGTTAATGGATATGCAATAAGAGCTTGTCCCAACCGTCCAAACAGCTATAAGTACACTGATAAAAATTCTGAATTTTAATTGTGATGTAAACATTAATTCACGTAGACTTGTATTTCATTTCACGCAACCGAGCAACTTGCAAACAATGTTGTTTACAAAGATGAGCTTTTGTACACAATATTTGCTACATTGCATGAAATGTATCAGAACTTTACATGATATATAATGTAAACGTATATGATATTTGACGCTCCATTTATGTGCATCATATTGAACAGAAATTTATACTGTTTTTTCGAACGGAGCATGTTCCGGGTGCTCCCGAGGAGTTTCATAAATTTCCCGACATTTTCCTGAGGCCAATGGAACTTCACTGGATTTCTCAGAAACTCCCTGAAATTCTCTTCAAAACTACTCTGAAGGTTTCCTCAGAACTTATTTGAACTAACTTGATGCCATTAACTTGAATGCGGTATTGTTTGTTAAAGAAAATGTCTATGAATCAGAGTTATGAAAAAAAGTATGACAAAGTATTGAAAATATTGAGAAATCAACGCCTTCGTGTATCATTTATTTATATTTTATTTCGTTATGGTTATTTTGTTTCGAATAGTCAATTATTTATAATTGATTAATTCGAACATCAAGATCAAACCTTTATAGAGCAAGAATGCCACTCCTACATTAATAAACAAGTTTTAAAAAAAATCGAGCATAATTTTGGCATTTCAATCTCCGAAAGTTTATTTAAAAATAGTTTTCGTTTCTGTGGCACTCTTGTTCCATCTGTCCCTATATTCCCCGCCCCCTATGTAATAATAAGTAACGAAAAATCACCCTTTCCCCACATACATTACATAATTTGTAATGCAAATCACAATAGATTATTTTATATTTCTTTTTCAGTTTTAAAAATAATTATTTCTGTACTTACCCAAATGAATAATTTCAACATTCTCATTCTCATCTATGCATTGTGTGTTTATTGCAAAAATGTGGCGACCCCGAAGTGACACTGAATCTATTTTCAGGTTCAATAGTCCCTTTGCACGCTTACTAATAAGTTGTTTTATTTCCCTTGCCCCTTTATCAACGTCCCAGGTACAACTGCTTCAACGAACAGATAGACTCACTCTGACTCAATTTATCTCTATCAACACACTCTGACTCAGACCTCGAGTTAGATGCATGGTGAATCAGAACGACTATAGCTTATAAGCTCAATGACTGAGAGAGAGCAAGTCTGGTCAGATGAACACATTCTCAGCATTTGTCTGTTCTCCAGCTGAGTTGAGTCGGAATATTTTTGTTATTGCCTCTGTCCTATTCGTAGTGAGAGCCTGGTTGGAAAATGAACATTGTGAGTTGTATCTCTCAAATACTGGTACTGAGCTTTCATTGATGCGAAAATTTGCAACATTGCTCAGAACTAATCTGAATCTCTTTTCAGAATTACTTTGAACTTCTCCTCAGAACTACTCTGAAGTTCTCCTCAGAACTAAGTTCTCGTCAGATCTACTATGAAGTTCTCCTAAAACTTCTCTAGATCTTCGATGAAGTTTTCAACATTTTCCTGAAATGTACAAAGTTGTGTGAAAATTCTATTGAAGATCTTTGAACTTTCCCGATATTCGGGACTTCTCTAAAGATATCGTTACTGATTATGTTGCATTGAACAATGCGCTTGCGGAAATTGATTGACAATTTATCGAAACAGCCGCTAGCGTTAATGATGCTGTGGATTTTTTCAGTACTGCACGGGAAGATGATATTT